TTTTTGACAATGAATTAGGGATAATTAGGAATAGCTACTACCCTAAAGCTCATAGATAGGACAGGGATTGAGCTCTGAAGTACTATTAGTAGTAGGTAAGGTACGATGTGAAGACCAATAGGTGCTATATACACTAACCTCCTTTGATCTCCCCGAAGACCATTTATAACGGCTCACCTGCACTTATTTAACCAGACACAGGTGACCGCGACAATGTAATAAGCATCAAAGAATGTTAGTGAAACAATATGCCCCACTGAAAAATAAAAATACTAAATAAAAATGTATGTGTCTTTATGCACTCCATACCCAACTACTGTATGCATTAGAAGTCCAATCCAGACTAAAGGCAACGAACTGAACCTTAGTTGAACTATTAAGATCACCATCGCCATCTGGATGGACATGACTCGCTTCTTTTGTATATACAGTATTTTTGTGCCCCCGAAGGATTGAGTCCCAGCCCTCCATCCACCGCGATTTGGGGAACATACGAATCCAGTGGAACCAACGGAAGGGTATTCCCGTAAAAGAGGGGTGTGTGATCTCGTCTCCCATCCTTGTTGATGAGATCCATGTGCAGGCAACCAAAGCCCCGGTCTCTCATCCCGCGGAGCAAGTTGTGGCTGGGGAGCAAACTTCCCTTCTACTGTCTGTTCATTGCAGATGAGCAACATCCTTCTTACCCCCTCAAGCTTTTTTTTTTTCGCCTCTACTTCATTCCTGTTGGTCTTCGTCATTCGGTGCTCCCTTGCGTAAATGCGGAGGTGACAGGGGCCAGCCTGATTTACCCCGTATTTTAGACGGAAGATTCAGGATGAGGCTACCTGAGGATCTACCTCCACGAAGAAGTAAGTATCATAAGTATCATCTTATTGCGTGAACTCGGTTGCTATTGAGATTTTTTGCTGCTGAGCGGTTTTTCGAATGTCTGTGGTATTACACTGCGTAGTCTTTTTCTCTGTTCTTCGACACTCCGATGAGCACTTTATGCTTGTATGTAGCTGTCCTTGCTGTTGGCAGTGTTCATCTCTACCTTACTCGTAGTAGAGCATGTACTATTCAGGCAATATCGGTATGTATTGTACCTGAGTACTGCCTCGTACCGAACCGCCCGAGAACACGAATCAGACCACATGACCTCGTGTCCGTCACAAACCACAGGGGTAAGTGAGCCGAAGCCGAGCCTATCAAAAGCGGACCCGATGGCGCGATTTAGCTACGGGGCGAAAGTCTAAGTGACCTTAAATCCCTTTTTTCGATTTATCTAGTCGAGCTTTCTTAGTTTCTTTCCAAGATGTTCGGTCGCTTTCTTTTCTGTGCACGTCCGCATGGGAAGTGAGGCTTGGAACTATCCCGGTTGGGTAAGAAGGACGGTGGATGCGGTTGGCGGCGGCTTTGGGGGAGTGAAGATGGTTGGGGCTTCTGTTTCTGTTTCGGGATGATGTGGAGACGCCTGAGTCGTGGGCTTGTTGGATACACATACATAACAAGTATCAGTGGTGGACTCCACCGGGCTTAAACTGAATAGAATAGGCAAGATACGTAGTACATAGCTCAGGGTAGCTTCGGATAGACATTCCTTATGCGAAGCATGGTTGAACTAAGAAGCTACTATATGTTTTATGTTTAATGCTTCATGCTGATAGAGGTTGTCTCGTTTCTTCGCCATAGTCGTTTCTGATATAGAACATCGTGGGAGTTGTCTCCACTAGGATATAACTACTATACCCTCTTCCATGGATCACAATTGTTTCTTTCGACTGCGGGGTAAGATTGATTTAAACTTCGATGCAGGAAGAGAAAAGCCCAACAAGTCCCAGAACATCTGCAATCCTTCGTTCTCTCTCGACTTGCACAGAAAAAAAAATGGTAGCACAGAATAAATCCACGGGGCTCTGTCTGTTCGCCAGCCCGGACGATTAATCATGACTAAAATAATTTAGGTCACGACCCAGACCCACCCTTTGCTGCCATTGACCGATTTCACTGGATATCTGGAAGAATACTCCGACCTCACAGAACCCAAAATAGTCGATTACGATCTTCTCACTGGACGATCATGTCTATCAAGAACATCTCTTACTCTCCGTTCGTTCATTGGCGTTAGCCCTCAACCTCATCCTTTCCCTTCAGTGCAAGTCGCACATACCCAGTGCATGACTCATAGTAAAAAAAATAAAATATCATTGCCAAACAGACGGGTCTGGAACAAACCAAACCGCCCTGTATAGAAACCTAAAGGTGCCTAACAAAACCCATCCATCACACATAAGCGTGTCAAGGACGCACAATGACAAAATTTGTTGGGCACCAAAAATATCCTTGTAAAAGTACTGTACTTCCTTCCCACCAAATTTCTTTCTAGGGATTCGTGGCTAGCCCCGTATTCGAGCATAGCGAAGTCGCCAATCATCGCTTTTATATTCCGATCTGCCTGTTTCATATCACGCTCACGAATGGAGGTCGCGTGTCCGCCGTGGGAGTGAGTTCAACTTAGAAGATCTCGCGCGGATCCACAATAAGGCCATCATTTTGGGGTGGGAAGAAGTGTGCCAGATTTCAATTACTAAAATGATACGGTCAGGTTTAAATATACATGACATCATAGGGCATTTTGGCAGGGGGAAAGTGATTTGAGAAAATAAAACCGGGTTTGGGCCAGGGGTTTTGGCACACGATAGAGCTTGGTAGTAATCCTGTGGGTATTCTGCAGGATGCATTACCGATTGTTTTGAAAGTGATGAGGATGTGGTAGGGCTACAGAACTTGAATAATCTGGTCTATACTGCTTGGAGCAAGGTTCTCGCGTGCGAACCGGCGACTCCGTGTATAGTAGATGGATCTATGACCTGGTTTAACCGAGCTTGTCTTGGTTCTCTAGGATCCTACCACACCCTGGCCGAATGCTGGTGGCATGCCTCCTGTATACCATGACCACGCTTGGCCTGAATGGTAAATGCCGCAAAGCAGGGTGAAATAATTACTTGCTAATATCTTGCTTCTGGCTGGATAGGTCAGATTGTGGACTGTGCCTGAGCATACCTGGCTATAGATCGGGCTGTGATCGAGGTTATTATGTTATGGACCAAATCAAGTATACTGGCATGTGTTGATCAAGGATATCGCTTGAATGCCCAGTCAACAATTGGAGATTTAGTACTTGTCTGATTGTATATCTGTTTTTGCTTTTTCAAGGACGGGATAGTGTCGCAAGGGGAGAAGCATGCTCCAGGGTTAACTTGCTTCGTATTGCTCTATCATCTTAACTACCTGCTTTTGGTTTTGTCATTGTCAAATCCCAGGATGAGGTATCAATTAGTGTATATTTTGATCAAGACTGACATGTTCGGGCATAATGCCTTGGGGTTGTTGATGGAGTAATTGAGCTTCAAGTGAAATAGGAACAAGGAGGTATGTGCTCCATCAATTATCCGTGCATCACACTTCGACTCTAGATTCCATATCTCGGGAAATAGATCAAGCTACGTCATACCCAAGGTCCCTCTGTCTTTTCATCCTAGAATCATTTCTAGAGACTGACAGCTGACATTTGGATCTTTAAGTTGTGGCCTCAGAGCGCAGAGTTCCTCTCCTCAATTCTTACACGCAGTCACTGTAGTTTATTTGAATACCTCAATGGGTATCCGTGTTACTGCACAGTGTAATCACATGCAAGCAATATAGGTGTCACTGGCCGATATCCTATACGAAGAAGCGTTACTCAAACGGTATTGCTTTAAGGTGACAAGTTCACTTCAGTTGATAAAACGAGGGCGCCTGTCCTTGCATGAAGACACCAATCCCCTGTTTGCATGTATTCTGTATACGATCCAAGCCGTCACCTTGGATATAGGTAGAGTATCCTTGTCAACTCCAAACAGAGGCAACGCCACATACAGATAGGAGCGATGCGACGAATGCCAAGGGACAAAAGGAGTTGAAAAAAAAGAAAAATTGATGACCTATGCATCCTTCAATCATGATTCTTACTAGTTGAATTGAGTTAAGGTTCGTATTCGGCGTGGGATCGTGAAACGGCCGAATCATGCTGAGCATGAACTTGGTCTGGGGTATGGAATGGGTGCATTACCTCCGTACCCAGAGAAAAAGAAAAGAGAAAGTGGCTGGCCCTGGACCCGGCAGACAATCACCCGCATACCAGGAAATACCTCATTTGGAGCCGGCTGTGCTCCTGCAAGTCGATGATCCTCGGCTTGTGCTCTTCTCACACGTCGCAATGATATGCATGCTGGGGTCGTAAAGTGCAGCTCCCTCGCGCGGGGTGGAGAAGGGATGTGTGCTCGGGGCAGTGTGATGTCTCATCTGTCGTCTGCCTATCATCTGATATCATTTCGACAGGGGTAGGCGTTTCTCTGGAGAATGTTTCTGTTGCATTCTCTAGTTTCTCCGTGGTGCATGAGAAGGGAATGGAATTCCCTGTGACCTGTACGGAGTAGTGTTGATTTATCCCCGATCGGGATGTTGCTCTACTGGTCTTATGTAAGCGTTCTGATAAGGAAGATTTTCTCTTATCTATGATCTTATCGATAAGACTCGCTCGTCACATGCAGATCATGGAGCGACTTCTTAACGAGGCAAGGTACTTCTGCAAACCGCAATCACTGAACAGAAGCTGGACATGGTTCCATCTTGGAGCTTATTTATGGTTCCTCGTGGCTGATATGTGGCACGGTATGTGATATGACCCTGAACCGCGGATCCGATTAGGTCTCCCCGTTGGATCGCAGGGCCACTCTGCGCATCATAGACTGTGCCCTGGATGCGACCTCATCGCTCGTCATGCCTCTATCAGCCTCCGAGTCTTCCGCGGTTGCACTCGCAACTCGTCCCACCTTTCCTCATATCTGTCCTTTCCTTGTCAAGGCGCAATTGCTGCCAACGGTGCCCGGGATGAGAACGCGGCATTGAGCTGCCATACAGATATCATCGCTACGACTCTCTCCGGGGATGGGCTGTAAAGGTACAGCTCATTCATTATGACGCTGTTGTACATAAGGGGAATAACCCCCTACCAACCAGGTGACAACGGTACCGATGTGATAATCAACGAAGTGCACTTCAACCGAACCGCGCTAGTCACCTACAACTACAGGCTCTACACCAACGGGACACTGTCCAATGGCACGAACTGCTTCCTAGCCTTCCAGCGATTCAGGCCTCATATGTTCGCTGAGAATGGCACGTTCATCAATGGAACATCGTGCTACGCGCCTATCAACGATATCGGCCAACATGCGTCTCTCGGCCTAGCATATGCCCTGATGTTCGTCATCACTATCTTCCTCAGTCTCCTCAACCTCCGCAAGCACGGCCGGAGTTACCTACCGCACGACCGTCGCTGGAACATCGTAAGCCGACGACTTAAATGGTGCTGGCTCATATTCGTCGCTGTCTGTGGCGCCATCAGTTGCTTCATGAGCATCGACGTCGATAGAAACTACCTCCAAAGCACACCCTTGATCCTCCAAAGCGTATTCTACACTCTCCTAACCCCGGGTCTAATGGCCGCAGTCTGGGAAGCCGTCCGGCACTGGTAAACCCCCCTACCTTCACAAACAAACTAACCAACCAACCAGCTAACCAAGACGAAAAACACAGGGCAAGCTGGCAAGCCCGCCAAATCCACGACCGCGACCCTTATGCCTTCACCAAAACCAGCACACGCAGCCGGGAGGAAACCCTCCTTGCTATCCTCTTCTACATCCTCGCCCTCCTAAACTTCATCCTCACTGTCCCCCGCAGCTGGTCCGCCATCGAGCTCCAACGCAGTGAAGAGCAACAGACCCTCAACGCCCGCCCAGTGGCAACAGACACCCGCTGGCGCGCAGCAGGCTTCATAGCCCTTGTTGGTATGCTGGTAATAACCTACAGCCTCGAACACAGCATCTACCGATACAAGCCCCGCCCATCAAGCACGGTCGGTCAAATCCTCTTCTACCTAAGCGCCGCACCCTCTCAATTCCTCCTCGCCATCGCCATCCTAGGAATCAAAATCGGTTACGCCATCGCCTCAGCCTTCGATTGGACCGTCTCGCCGCTGAAATACGATGTCCAGTCCGCCTGGATCTATGGCCTAGGCTATACCCCCGCCCTACTCATCATTCTTCTCTTCAATATCTGCGGCTGCTGCGAACTAAACGAAGACAAAGCACTTATCGCACAACGCGGTGAGCTAGAATCTGCAATAGCCAGCGACGTAGGTATCGGACAGAAAAACCCACCGTGGTGGAAGAAGCAGCGGCTGCGTTCGTTCGCGAGGGAGATTACAGGCCGGGGATCCCCGATCGACAGAGATAGGGAGGATATGGTCCGGTACGTTGAGATGGGGATCATCAAACCGCAGGAGCAGAGCGGGGATAACGTCGTGGGTGTCTCAGAGGTGAACAAGGAGGAACCCCGCGTTGCGACGCGGCAGGCGACGAGTACTAGTTTTGAGGATGATGGGTCGGAGTCGCCGCTGGATCATATTGAGTATGCTGTGCAACCAGAGCGGGGTGTGTCTCCGCAGCCCATCCCCAGGGGGAGAAATATATGAAGGGGGGCTTGCATTGTACGCAGGTATAATGGGGTGTGCTATTATAGGGGTTTAAATTGCTTTCTGGGACGGGAGTTGGGTAATTAGTCAATGGGTTTTCAGCGGACTGGTTCGGAGTGTAACATTGGGTTATTTTTAGATTCGGTTCTAATACCAATTGGATGTTTGGACTGAGTACCAAATGTAATGGATGCATATTGTTGAATATATGGTGGCATGCTCGGGTTTGTATTTACATGTATCCCATGAGTAGCTATGTACATGGTACAGGGGAGAGACTTTTACACACTTTTGACATGGACACAGTAAGTTCAACCGGAATAATCAATCATCAACATGATCAATTGGTATATCGAGTCATCCTAACCACAGCAAAGGCTAGTCCCAAAGCGTATATCAACAAATGGCGTGAAAACAGTGGCCTCAGGAATATGAAATAGACAAGCTACAATGGAAGACAAAAAGCAAAAGACCCCACCCATGCTTTATGATGCACCCTCTTTAACAACGCCGGTCCTGCCCAAAATCACAATAAATAACAAAACAAGATCGTCATGACCGTTCCATATCACTTTTGGATAACAGCGAACGGGTACATCTCATACAATGAGCTAAGAAAGCAAAAGCAGATGGTAAGGAATGGAGTAATGTGCAAGGTGCAGGGTGTGGAGTATCGGAGAATGACTTTGAGGTAAGGGAGATATAAGGAAACCCGGTCACGTTCACGCAGTGAACACCCGGTCTAATTGTCGAAGGGCACGCATGTCCTCTCCTCCGAACCCAATCTTGTCGCTGGGGATATCGCGCGGACCTTCGGCTCGTCCCGTGGATGGTGCGGTGATCGACGGCAAGGAGCCACTAGCTGGAGTGCCGTTCATCAGAGCTCCAATGCTGGGCACAGTTGTGCCAGAGCTGCTGGGCTCCGGCGGTTTAATGGTAGTGGTCGGAGGGGAGATTTGTGCCGCACTTGAAGGAACCTGGTTCAACAAGCGTGGGCTTCGCGCAACCAACACGGCAGCGGGGGGAATAGACGGGGGTTGTGTGCGTGGAGATGCCCTCCGAAGGTCTGCTGGTCTGTATTCTTGGGGACTGCGCTGATGAATCTCGTGGGGGTCTGCGACTAGCCGTGGTGACCGGCCATTTGCAATGACCGGCAGCGACGGATGCTGCACGCTCGGGGCTTGTATTGTCGGGGCCAATACCTCAACTGGATGCATCGGTCGCTCGTAAGGCGTGGCCAACGGTTGCGGAGGCGGTGGGGGAGGCAGGGCGTGTGGTTGATGGTGAGCATATGGCACGTGGCCGTTCGATCCCGATACCGGAGGGAGATACGAGGGATAATGGACTGGGACGGTTGGCGGGGTAGCTAATGGGGTCGGCGGCCATGCGTACGACGGAGTGTATGATTGAGGATGCGTGGCTCCCGAGCGGGCATATGCACCCATTGGATGAGGTGGTACCGAGTAGGTAGCTCCAGCCATTGGCCCGCGTGTCACTACTGGCAGATTTTGTTGGTCATTGACAGTAGATTCTGGGTACAGACCTTTCTGCGGGCGAACATGACGCAGGGCAGGATCGGTCGATGGCTGTTGAAGGTTGGCGGCGGAGGGATGTGACCTAGAGTAGTAGCTGATGAGATGGAGATGTTGCCCAGTAGAGGTGGTGATGCTGAAAGACTGCTTCATCAGACCATCAGGCTTGTATCTATAGCCATCTGGACCCTCATCTGCGCCGTCGCCCCGGTCATCGTCACTCCCTCGACTCTCGGGGGTCTTGCCCGCTCTCGACATGGTGGATTGCGCCACGCCCGTCCCCCCTCGCTTGCCCTCCATTTCACGATATGTCAAAAAGCTGCCCGACACGCGACTGGCGCTCCAGGACTTCCCATCCGTCCATCTGCGCATCCCCGCTTCCCGCTCATCCCACACAAAGACCGATCCGGAGCGAATTAATTGGCGTTCTTTCTCGGACAATCGTCTCTGTACGCGGGGCAGGAGGCCAATGCGACATGCTTCGAAGAGAATGATAGCGTCCGCCGGCGTGCGGACGTGGCCGTGATACGTCTCCATCCACCTTCGGTGATCTGTGTAGGACCCCGTGATGGTTGTAGGCTTCAACGCCAGGGTAGGCTGTTTACTGAGGTACGGAATGTTGATAAAATTGAGCGGCTGGCTCCTTGGAGCAATACCTCCTTTGAGCCGGTCTTGTTTCTTTATTTAGTCAGAGGATTGGGGGCGATCCACGAGTATAGTTCCCTAAAGCGGAAATGGGGACCGGCTCACGGGAAGGCAAGTCACGTCCGATCCTGTGAGCAGTCCACCACCGGTGAAGGATGTTCGGCGGGAATCTTGGGGAGGATTTGATATTAGTATTTCATCAATGCCCACGGGAGGTCCTGGCCACTCGCGATTTCGGAGTGAAGGATTGAAGGGAAGAGGGACGAGGGGGATGGAATGTAGAAAAAGTCAAGGCAGCAAGGAAGGGGAAGTAGGGGAGTGGGGAGGACTGATAGGAGAATAAAGGAAGAATGCAGGCAAGCGGACCAAGTCATTAAGATTATGAGACAAGGATACGTTTGGAACATGACAGGGACGGGAAAAGGGAGGGAAAAGGGAAAAAAAAAAAAAGTAGAAAGAAAAGAAAAGAACCAGAGATCCATAAATTACTCACCTGGATCGTGTTATGTTAGAGAAGCGACAAAAGACACGGGTTCGGTAAAGAGAACCTGAACAATGAGCAGACGGTAGTTGGTGGATTGGAAGAGGAGGGAGGAAGGGAAAGAACGGAAGAAGAGGTTCTAAACAGATTTGAACGGCGTAGGTAGTAGAGTAATCGGTAGCAGTGAGGTAGTAAAGAGTATGTAAAAGAAAACGAAACGAAGACAAAGGGAGGCATTAAAGCATGAGTATCAGAGATGGAGTGGAGCCTTTGCAACTCTGGACCCCACAGGTTGTTTTAATATTTTTTAAATGGATTTAATTTTTATTATTGATTTTCTTTTTTCGTATTTTGTTTAATTATTATTAATGCATTTTTGGGGGGGATATTTGATTTTAGTCTATTTCCCCATCAGAAAGAGTAAATGTATTACTTCTTTCCGGTGTACTCTGTATTATATTATGTATTCTGAACCCATTATTAACTTTGGATTCGATTTTGATTTTCTCGATTCTTCTTTCTTCCTTCCTTCTTGTCTTGTCTCATGAGTCCAAGACAGTGAGTAACCAAATCAAGAACCGAGCAAAACCATTCAATGACTGATGGGGATGGCTTGGACCTCTAGGCGTTGGTCATGCCGAGAAGCCATCAGAAGACAAAGTGTGGGTAAAGTACAAAGGACCGCGGCAAATCATTTCATCTGATGCCCTTTGGACAGGAGCCTGGGCGTGGTAGAGGGCAAAAAATAAAAAAAGTAAAAGGATTAAATCTGAATAAATGGCAACCTTGATTTTAACCTTTATGTTTTCCATAGTCGCTCATCCATGGTTCGTGGGGGAGAGGCGGACATGACCTCGTTTGTCGGGAACGGACTGAATCATTCATTACTGTTAGTTACTACCCAAGATATAATAATCCAACATCGATTCTTATTATTAACGCTTAAATGACTGTTAACTTTTTTTTTTTGTTTTTACCTCTCAGCTGATAGGGCCAAAGGAAAACCCTGACCTTAACCCATCCTCCGTTCCTCAGTCCTAGAGAGGATGATCCCAGTACAATGTGGAAGGGTGATCGAAACCAAAAAAAGAAAGTAAGTTGAGTTGTGGAGTCATTCTAAACTAAGCTTGATGGTAGTAATACTTGGAGATGGGACATGGGTGTGTATAATGGTGTAATACTGGATCTAATAATTGGATGGCTTTATTACGGTTACACTTGAATCTTTTTTTTTTTTGAATTTTGATTAATATCATTTCCTCTCTTCGGGGCACTTGTTGTCATTCACCTGTTGATTTATCTTTCCAACTTATCTCTTCCAAGTAAGAAGCGCCCCCAAGATAGTTTTTTCCAAAATAGTGCTGACGGTTAATTCTACATACCAGATGTTCAGTCCGGTTCAGGAATGCTGCACGGGATCAATATTCTCCATTGATCTAGCCTCTGATTAAAGACAAGAAGGACAAGAGCTTGGCAAAGTCTTTGTATTTCTTGGCTCCAAGTTTCGGCTTTTGCCTTGAAACGCAAGAAAGGGAAAAATACCACGACAGGTGCGATCGATAAAAAAAAAAGAAGAAATATAAATGATCACCGAATTAAACATAAGGAAAAGAGAAAAGGAAAAATTCAAAGCTCCCCCGAATAAACCCACCTCCTGAGAGATAAACACAGACCAATAAAGTTGTCCAAGCAAGTAATATTCGCATAACAATCAATAACTCATCATAAGACGGTATTACACTAGAAAGATACCAGTGGCGCTCTGATCGCTTGATCCCATCCGAAAAGTGATTAGTGCGCGACTTTCTGAAGCTTAAGCTTAATCCAACACGAGGAACCTTAAGCTCGCTTAGAAAAGAGGCCCCCTCGGGGTTCCACTTGTTCCAAATGGAGGTGGCCTTTGGGTTTCAATTTTTAATCAACAATCCTTGGGTTTGATTATGCTACTCTTATGTATCACCCCACCTAGCCAATCGCCGACTCCCAATCTGTCAAATTATGCAGTTATGCAAAATAGGGTTAAACTCTCCCCGGGGTTGTGCAGCGGTTCAGCCCGAAAGTGACCCTGCAATGGCCAAGGCTGACGACATTGGCTTTGCCGTTTTGCCGTCCACGGCGGACTCTAATTTGGAACAGAGAAAAATAAAATAATATGGCCAAACCAAAAAAACAAAAATGAACAAATATCCCAATGGTCGCCGCCTTCAATGCGACACACTTTAATCTAATATATGGTTAAGATGCTGTGCTTTTTCTCTTTCGGCACCGGAACCCGGCAGATGACAACAGCCACCGTGGCGATTAGATTCGTATTCGTAATTGCCCAAGCCACAGGATTTGGAGAGTTTGTCAAGTTGATACTCTTTGTACTATATGACATCGTGAAGTCGGGTGTTG